ATGTGTATGAAACACTTGAGTTACGAATGTGGAAAAGTACTGTGCAACATTATATTTTTTTTAGCCTGCAGAGAGCCAAAGATCTCTGACCTGGTGAGACAGAAAGTGCTTCCAATGCAGGTTCAGTCAAGGTGAGAATGCAATATCTCAACTATAGTTTCAAGAAAAATGTGATTGCTTTTCACCTCCTCTCCTCTTCACCCTGTGTGTTTAGCCTGCCTGAGCAGCCATTCCTGCAACTCCACCGATAGCCGAGCAATGAGAGCTGCTGGGAGTGGAGGTCTGATTCAGCACGGGTTTGCAAGCTGCCTGGAGCCAGCCAGGAATAAATGCACAGTTAGAGATGTGCAAAGTACTGGACAATGCTGGGATGAGGCTTGCACGCCTGTGACAGGCTATGAGAACAGTCTGAGAACATTTCCTTGGGGCTAATGATGTCTTAAAATATGAATATGTGCTGTCTTAGTGAAGAAATGAGTGGGGAGAGCACAAGGCTATATAGCAATGTCATCTGCTCCCATTAAGTTTCACCATCCAAAGCAATATAGCACAATTGATGTGAAGTTGGGTTTGGGGTGGACATCAGGGAGAGGAGGGAGTAGAGTAAGAGGGGGGGAAGGAATGAAAGATCACACTGTCTGGGCTTACCTTTCTGCTGATTTCTTAAAATAAAACCAGTATGAATTATTTATGCTGCAATGTTCAGGTTTGTTTTTGTCCAAGTAGTAATTTCTCATTTCAGGTTTGGGTTTTTTTTTCAGTAAATGTTTTATTTATTTTTAGATGCAGTGCAAGAACTGCCCTCATCTTTGGTCTTAAGAACAGCCATACCAAGTCAGAGTAAAGGTCCTGCTCAAGCCGTATCCTGTCTCTGGCAATGGCTGGTAGCAGGTGTCTAGAGAAGACTTTAAGAACAAAGATAGCACATACTTCCCAAATGCTCTCCCACTCTCCAGCTCTGTGATCTGTGATTGTAGAGATGGCCCAGAGGAGCCATCAGGAAGCTTTAATAGCCATCAGGGGATTTTTCTTGCTTAAATGTATCAATTCACTTTTGAACAAAGGTTCTTTTAATGCTAAATGTTTCAGATATTAACATCAGCTGTATGAGACTGCATCCCTGCCCCCACCTCCATAGCATCATGAGGGCATCTCAAGTTTGTGAGCTGTTTTTTATCCCTTGAAGCAGGATCTCCATTTTGTAGATTAACAGTGAGGCAAAGTGTGGACTATGCAATACTGCAAGGTCACATGTGAGTAGGGAATGGGACTCTGGCAGTCTAAGCATGACCACAGCAGCTATCATCCTTCTTCCAAAACACAAAAACTTGCCATTGCTCTTGTTCTTAATAACTTTACTTTCCTTGAGTGCTGTTATGTATTGCCTCACAGATTCTATAAAATATGATGGAGGCAGTCTGTGTCTCTCTGTGATAAAAAATGCAATTACCACCCAAAAAAAAAATTCTTATGGCTTTTCTGGATGCAGGCAGTACCAGAAATCTCAAGAGAAATTAATTTCCTGCT